TTGAGAAACGATGTACAAATGCGCTTTACACAATTGATGTGTGTATGGATTGGGATAACAGTTGTATGAGCCCCAAATAAAATGATTTTTTTAAAAGAAAAAAAAAAAAAGATACAGCACCTGAGGTCTTAAAGGTGTGAAGTTAAACATGCAGTCATCTAGCAGCAAGCAAAAACAGCAAGCCCACATGGAAGAAGCACAGCAGCCTGTGTGATCACGAGGTGTTGATGGAATCGGGTAACAGGCATCAGAAGACACAAAACAAAACAAAGATATTGTTGAGAACAAGGGGGATCGAAATAGAAACCCAAAACCCATCTGCAGACAATAAGACATCCCCTCACAGAAGTGTCACAGGAAGGGATGAATCAACCAGGGTGCAGTTAGTACCAATGAAACACCCAATATTCCTTGAGGCTTCCTCACCCCCAACTCTCATGACCCCAGACCTGCCTTTTTGTTCTGACTAGACCTGAGCATGTACATTGGTACAGGTAAGAGCTCACAGCACACAGAATCCAGGTCAGATAAACCCCTCAGGACTAGAAATGGGAATAGTGATACCAAGAGGGTAAGGGGGAAAGTGGGGGGAGGAAGGGAAAACCAATCATAATGATCAATGTATTAATACACACTCTCCCCCTTATGCCCCAGGGGGATGATTTATAATGTTCTCTTCCATAAGATGACAATGAAGTATCTAAAATGAACCACAGACATATATAAACCTCACACTTAATTCTAGTCCCCACATAAGAACAATTAATTCTTAAGACATAGCCCTGTTCATAGCTTGGCCTCATTAAGAGATCATTGAAGATATTGAGTGTTACAGCAAAGTATCTTAAAGAAACCAGATGGTACTTGGCTATCAAAGAATAGTGTTAAGTCTTAAAGGCTTGTATTCAAACAAACAGCCACCTAAATGAGGCATCAACTAAGTCCACATGGAAGAAGCACACCAGCCTGTGATCCAAGGGCTGTAAAGAATAAAACCCAATGCAGAAATTTTCAAACAATATCTTTAATATCACATAATGTAAAATGTTTAAAGTGGTTGCAGCAGTCCATTGACAGAGAGCTATCAGAAATTCAAGCCAGATTCAGAGGAAGATTGTCGCACAAGGGCCATCACCCCATAGGTCAGAGAAGAACTGCTCCCTAGAGTTTCTGAGTCTATAAATAGAAAGTCTCACTTTTCTCCCACAAAACAGCTGGTAGATTCAAACTGCTGACAACCACTACACCATAAGGGCTCCTCCCTAGAGTATTATCTGACTGTAAACATAATTTAGAAGTGAGGAAATGGGCTGAGACATTAGGATTACACAGAGTTGTCTTTTTAAAATTTGAGTTAGTTAATTGTGCCAGCCTGGCCGATAATCACATGTGGTGCTGACTGAAAGGCGGAGGGATAAATGGGTGGTGAAGCCTCGCCTTTCTAGTTCTCGGGTCTCTTGTTTTGTGATGGTTGCATCAGGGTGCAGCTGCCTTAGCAGTTCCCTGCTTCAGCTTGCAAGATTGACTTCCTACAAGACATCCCCAAGGAGAAGCCGCATGGATCTATCCCGATGCAGCCCTGGGTGCTGGAGCAGCCGTGTGGAGACCCGTGCCAGTGCTGAGATGCTTACACGTTCACTGACTCAGCTTTCCTCCTGCAGTCGGCATTATTGCCTCTGTTTTGTGAGGTGGAGGACTTTGTGGACTGGTGTTGGATTAATGGGTTAATGTTGGACTTGTGGGCTTGGGCAGCATTGGGTTGGGATGTTTTTGTGATGCACCTTTTCTTTACATAAAACTCTCTCTTATACGTGAGTCGCCGTGGATTTGTTTCTCCAAAGTACCCAGACTAATACAAAATTATTTTATTTTTTTAAATCATTTTATTAGGGGCTCATACAACTCATCACAATCCATACCTACATCAATTGTGTAAAGCACATTTGTACATTCATTGCCCTCATCATTCTCAAAACATTTGCTCTCTAAACAGAAAACTTTTTTGGAAAGTGAATTTTTTAAATCGTTTTATTAGGGGCTCATACAACTCTTATCACAATCCATACATACATCAATTGTGTAAAGCACATTTGTACATTCATTGCCCTCATCATTCTCAAAACATTGCCTCTCCACCTAAGCCCCTGACATCAGCTCCTCATTTTTCCCCTCCCTCCCCGCAGAGTTGTCTTATAATTTTGCTCACACACCTCTTTCCCCACACGCGCTGTCACAGGAAAACGCAGTTTATCATTGGCTTAACCTTACCGCAGGTGCAAAGGAATATTTTAAATTCAAAACCATGCAAACCAAGGGCCTTGTCTTACAAAGCACACGACACTTAAGTTCTGATTAATTGCAGACATCACCCACAGAGCCTTAGAACCACTTCGTTCTCCAGACCAACAAACGCGTAAATCCAAATGGATCACACGTTGATCCACTCGGTGCCTCTCTCCGTTTAAAGCGCAGCCCGACACACTCTCCCTTCCCCCACTTCTACCTCGTCCTGCTCGCGCTCTGGACGGAACTACATTTCCCGAAATGCACCGCGGCGGGGCGGGCCGCGGGCGGCGTCCGGCGTTTCCAGGAGCCGCTGAGGAGGACTGGAGCACGCCGCGATTGGTCGGCTCGGACCACAAAGAAGTGGCGTCCACGCCCCGGCCGGGAGCGAGCTGCGCGGTGTGTCTGACGGCGGCGCTCCGGTCGGTTCTCGGTCCCGGTCGCCGGGCCTAGATTCGGACGGGCCGCTCGGCTGCCCGCTGTCGACTGCGGATGCCGGAGGCCCCCGCGGCCGGCCATTGCGCTCCCTGCCGTCGTTAGCGCTTGGTTCCCTCGGCGACCGCCAGGTGAGCGGGCGAGTGTTCCGCCTCCGGGGAGGGGCGCCCCGGAAGAAGCCCCTGAGCCGGTGCCGGGACGACTGGGGTGGCGGCGGGCGCCGGGGGTCGGTGCTGCAGGGCCCGGGACCGCGCCCACCGGGGCTGCCCCGTGCGGTCGCTGCTCCGGAGCCGCTGCGCTGCAGGCTGGCGTTCTTACGGACGAGGGTTCTGCCCGTGCTGCTGGGCAGCCTCGCAGAATGACGTCCGCCCGAATCACAACTGGTTCTCGTGGGGTGGGACCCACGACGAAAAACCTTAGCCATTGCAGTGCACGAGACAGAAACAGAGACCCGAGGGACCTTCAAAAGGATAGAGGAACATCCCATTATTTCGTAATTCCATTTTTCCACAGACTTTTTTTTTATCATTGTATTGGGGGCTCGTACCATTCTTATCACAGTCCATACACACATCGATTGTGTCAGGCACCTTTGTACATTGGGTACCATCATCATTCTCAATCCACAGAAATCCATAGGGGCAGTTCTACCGAGGGTCGCTGTGAGTCGGGATCGAAGCGATGTTAGTGAGTTTCCGTAGAGTAGTGGCCTTAAAATTTTGTTGGGGGGACGTGCCCAAAAGATTGCATCTTACTGCCTTAGAGTTAGTTGCGACTCATAGTAACTCAATGGAGCAGTTTAGAACTGACCCTGTGGATTTCCGAGACTGTAACGCTGCCTGAGTTAGGAAGCCTCGACTTTCTGCGCAGGCTCTAGTGTCAAAAGGTTGACTGATAGTCAGATCTATTCTTTCATGAAGGGTCGCAGGTAGTGATAAAAATTAGAAATAAACGCAAGTCTTCTACCTTCCCCACGGCACCCAACAACAACATCACATGTGTTGAGTAGAACTGCACAGGCGTGGGAGGCTAGTGGTACACAGAAATCCCAGAAGCAGTTCTACCCTGCTTGGTGTGGCGGCTGAGTCAGGATCTATTCCAGGGAGGTGAGGGTTTATTTTATTTTATTTTAAAAAACATGTTCAGATGCAATGCCCAGGCCTATATTTCTGCGTGACTCAGGGTGGGTTCTAACCACCAATCCTTTGGCTGGTAGTTGAGAACTTAAATTCACCCCTAAGCTATTTGGTTATTCCTAAAATACAGTTCATAAGGAAAGACAGGAAACATTTTATTTTTTTCCCTTGATGTGTTTACATACTAACTTTCAGAGAAAGGAGTTGGTACCCTACCACCTGCTCAGGGGTCCCAAAGTGAGTTTGAGTACTAACTTGTGCATTTTTATATATTTGATATGCTTCAAGCTACTTACCTTATTCTTTTATCTCAAAGTGCCCTTTGACCTATAGAAGACCTTTCCATTCAGCTTCTGTGTCTTTTCGATTTGTGTTATACTTTCTAGCTTATTTTCTCTCACACACAAGTTGTGTCTAGTTCATCCATTTCATGCTCTAGAACTGAAATAAGCACTTCTTTACCAAACTTTCCTTTGAAAAGAACAGGACTGCTTCCTTGTGTGAGGAATCGTATAACGAACAAAGGGAGGATTAAGACTGTCATTGCCACCAGGACTGTCACTTCTTCTAGGTGCTACCAGCCCAGGTCTCCCTTCCCATCTCTAAGAAGCAAAGACGGGCGGAGTGAACCAGAAAGCTTGCCTTAGGTTGATCAAGCCCGGAGCCAGCTCCAGTCATCAAGGCAAGCTTCCATAAAAGGGGGACTGGGGAGTTATATCTTTATTTACAGGAAGGAAATTGAAGGGGCTATGAATATATAACAGATTTCTCGAGAGCAGTCAGTCGTGAGTATGCATGAGGGCAGCAAGGTTATGGCTTATCAGACCACTTGCTTTCAAATATCTCTAGAATGATGGCATACTTAGGCCATTTCAGTGGACAATGCGAGTAAATACTTGTTCCTAAAGTATAATGCACAAATCATTTCCAGGATTTAACGCATTTCTCTTGTATGCTAACAATCTTGGTTGAAAACAGTATAATTTGTTTGCATTACTATGCAGTGGTTTACTGCATTACTATACAAAAGAATAGCACCAGCGTTCCCTCCCTTAGGAAAGAGTACATTTAGATGTCCTGTGGTTATTTGTCTCCTCACCCTGCTGTGTTCACGGTTCATGAGTTCCATTGTACTGTTTAACCAAGAGTAAATGTTTTCATAAGGTTGATTTTTAAAATTTTCTTTTCATATGATATTATACTTATAAAAAGTTGATAATGTAGTAGAAAAATCTCCCATGTGCCTTTATTTATTTATTTTTTAAGCAGTTTTATCAGCACTTCATCCACATCATACATTTTAATAATTCAGTCATTTAAAGAAGAGTTGTACAATTGTCACCATATTCAATTCTGGATCATTTTCATATTCATCAACTGTTAACATCAACTGTTTGATTTTTTGTTTGTTCTCTCTAAACGTATACCTTTTTTCTGAATCTGAGAAACTTTCAGAAATTATTTTCCTTTAGCCATAAATACTTTAATGTGTGATTTGTAAGTACAAGGACTATAATTATCATTAATATATTAAAGTCAGCAGATGTACCATAGTTATATTTTGCTAATCCAGTTTATAAAATAATTTCACCAATTTTTCCTATAGTCTTCTTTGTCCCTGATCCATAATCCAATCCAGGATTAAACATTCCATTTAATCATATCTCTTTAGTTTTCAGTCATCTGAAACAGTTTTCATTCATCTGAAACCGTTTCTCCCCTGTTCCTTGATCTTCCATGATCTTGATGTTTTTGTGGAGGTGAGGCCACTTATGTTGTACGTTGCCCCTCCATTTGGCACTTGTTGTTTCCCTATGACTGGCAGGAATCCTGTTGCTGTTCACTCCTTCATACCTTCAGCTGGCTGCATTTTATCCTGTGTTCAGAGCTTTTACTTGATTCTGCAGAGGTATGAGTCTAGTAAATCTGAATGACAGCAGGAATTGAAAGTTTTCTCAATTTAGTTTTCATTGTATTTTCTTCTGTTTAAATTATGTTCAGTATCTTCTCAGATATTAAATCACCATTGACTTTTCTTTTTCATTGAATGGTGTTTTGTTTTGTTTTTTTCACTTTTAATTGTGAATGTGGTGAGGGTTTATATTTCATATTGTTTTTGCATTCACCAATTTAAACAACCTATCCAACCTCCCAATAACTGGCCCCCTTATTAAATCTTTGCTCCTCCCTCTTGCAGAATATAATCTTCCCCTTCACCGTAGCTCACACCTGTCTACCCAGAGCCTATTGCTTACCCTTCCTTCTTGTCCTCTCACATCATCCAAGGTCTATTTTTTTGTATGAAAAAACCTTTATCTTGGTTTTTTCTTTTGTAACAGTGATCACTTATAATATTTGTTCTTTTGTGACTGACTAACTCACTCAACGTGATGTCCATTCATGTCATGAGGTTGTCTCCTAATATGCAGGAGTTTGGAATGTTGCAGCTAATTTACTCCCTTCAACTCAGGAAGAAAGATATTTATTTGGAAGCATAGCGTTCTGTCCTGCGAAAGTATGCCAAGTCCTGCTGCCTGCTATTGGGTTTGTCTTCCTTAGGGACACCCCAGCAAATGTTATGACAGCGATAAGCCACACACACACACACACACACACACACCAAAGCAAACGTTTCATTGAAGCATGGAGTAGATACACTTCAAACAGTGAAGCAGGCCCCCTCGCTCCTGAGAAGGACACCAAGTAGGGTAGCATTTCTTAGTTTTAAAGGCACAGGGGGGTGGAGATTGCAGCTCCAGGTGGTCAAGCAGCTTTCTAATTAGTTCACTCAGTTAATCCTTGGGTCTCTTGCATATTTTCTTTCAAGTTTATTCAAGTTAAGGCTCCTTATCAGTGTGCAGCCAGCCTGGTCTCAAGGTTAGTACCAGGACTGATGTCAAGGCCTCTGTTCTGACCTGATCCTTCTTCCCTAATGCGAGTAAGACGGAATTCTTTCGAGAAAGGGATGATGACCAATCTGGCGACTTCCAGCTCAAAGTGGGCATGTGTCCCTAGAAGTCTGCCCTCTTCTGACCTGATTTTTTAGCTCTCTGCCTGTGAAGAGAAGAGCAATCATCGAACAGTGGACCCTTCTTCTTCCTGGAAGGTTGCAGCAGCCTGGTCAATAGTTTGAGAGGAGATCGGTTGATATTCACTCATAATTATCTTTATGTGGAGCTGCTGAAGCCTGGAAGACACAAACTTTATAAAGGTGTTAATAGACACAGGAGAAAAGTTAGTAGTAGTAATTTCAGAAGCACCCACCCCAGAAGGGGTAAGAACAAGCTCAGGAAATGAAACAAATGTACAGATTCAGACAGCCTGCCTGTCTACTGAGCCGAAGAGCAGAGACACCAGCACTTTACTCAGAGAAGAGAAGGGGGTGAAAATGACAGGACCTAAAGTCATCATTGATACAAGTCAGTGGTTCTCAACCTTCCTAATGCCACGACCCTTCCTCAGGTTGTGGTGACCCCTAACTGTAGTATTAAATTAAAATGGCGATGGGGGGTGAGGGGCCAGCCCCCACCCGCTGCTACTACTTATGGGTTCAGTAATGCACAATTGTAAGGTTGAGATATATAAGTATTATATTAAAGTCATCGAGAGCATGAGAGATATTACAGTAATACAGTCAGACACATTACATGGTAGCATTGCTCACCTCAGCCCAGCTTGGTGGTCCACGTGGAGAGAGGGGGAAGGGAAAGAGGGCAAGGGAACAACGGAGAGAGGGGAGGGGGAAGAGAGGGGAGTGAGCAACAAGGAGAAAGGTCAGAGAGCTCTATATTGCTGACCCACGCCTATATACCTTTTGGGGGCATGCCAGCCCACTAATTATAGGTAGAGACATACTTCACAGGGAGGGGTTACACTATAGGTTACACAGTAATGAGGGGGTGGTCTCTGGGTCTCTATAGGAACCATTATCAGTAGGATGCAAACTCCGCCCCACAGGAGCCTGTCCATTGTCCCCACAGGCAGGGAGCAGGCCC